TATCCCACACATCTCCTTGGGACGGGTTGGTGGGGGAGGAGGGACGACCGACCATCTGTTAGCCGGCTGTGTAGTGAGAGGGGAGGGATTGAGTCCATTATTTGAATGGACATTAACTTGGCGACTGTATTTCTCTATTTCTTAAGTATTAATTGTGTGCATGTACCATCATAAAATTAAGATGTTATTTTTACTACAACATAGGTATGTGCCTCAAAAGTGGAGTTTGGGGGGTCGGGTCAGTTTCTATTGGAATTAATCCCATATGTTCTGTTGTTCACTTAACGCGATTTCACTTAATGCGGGACCCTGGGGTTCAATTGACTGCTATGGGGTACAACTGTATGTATGTATATATATATATATATATATATATATATATATATATATATATATATATACACACACACATATATATACAGTGGGGTATGCTATAACGAATCTAATTGGTTCTAGAACCTTGTTCGTTATAGCATTCGTTCGTTATAGGATTAATTCGTTCCAGGCCCCGAAATACAACCACTTAACACTGAAAAATATAATATAAAATTTTAAAAATTGTAAAAATGTGCATAAATAAGCATCTAAACCCCTGAAATAAAGAACACCATTAATACTTGTAATAAAAAAAGAAAAAATTAGTAAAAAAAAAAAGAAAAAATAAGAACTTTTTTTTTCTAAATAATGTTCGTTGTAGGAGTTTCGTTCGTTATAGCAATCTCAATTTTATAGGTAAAACCGTTCGTTATAGGAATATTCGTAGTAGGATCCGTTCGTTATAGCATACCCCACTGTATATATATATATATACAGATAGACCCCGACTTACGACGGGGCTAGGGACCCAAATCCAGGTCGTAAGTCCGACATAGATAAAAAAAAAAAAAAAAAATTTTAAATAAAAAATCTACAATGAAATACAGTACGGTGAAAGTAATAAATAATAAGGAATGGTTACAGTGTGACAGCACTTACCTTTAATGTAGTCAGCTGAATGCACATGGGGCCCCCATAATTTTCTAATTATACATGGAGACTACATTAACTGGAAACGTTTCGGTATAGAAAATGCGTCATTTGAAGAAAAAAATTTTTTTTAATAAAAAATCTGCGGCGGTCATAAGTCCCGACAGTCGTAAGTCGTAGCAGTCGTAAGTCGAGGTCTGTCTGTATATATATATATATATATATATATATATATATATATATATATATATATATATATATATATATATATATATATATATATATATATAAATGGGTACGAACTGTCTCATAAATTGGGTATGAGTTATCTCGTAGCTGGGTAAGAGTCGACATGTTCTGATGGGTACGATTTGCTTGGGTAAGAGTTGTCCAGCACCCAATTTAATGTAGTTCACACAACTCTGTTAGAAAGTCAAAACTATGTTTTTCTAGATTTTTTGTGTGTGTGTGTTTTGATTGGTTCTGACCATGATTTCCATCAGAAATGGCCTGTTTTTTAGTTATCGTCCCCTTCTACCCCCAACACGATAGGGGATCCAGTTGGGAACCGGGGTCTTGGGTCGGGGAGAGAAACAAGCGTTTTCCGACAAAAATCATGGCAGTAGAGAGGGGTCGGGGAAAATGGGAGTCAAAAAACAAGCAGGTCCTGGGAATTAGTGAAACAGAAGTAGATAATGCTGAAAATATAGTTAGTCATAATAACAAACATCAAAGTAATAAATGCAAAACAGATAGAAACGGAAGAAATATATTGAGTGTTTATTATACTAATAGTAGAAGCTTGTGTAACAAAATGGACCAGCTCAGGGCCATTGTTAGTAAAGAGAACATAGATATAATTGCAATAACGGAAACATGGATAAATTCAAACAGCAAGCATTTTTTAGCAGAATTTCATATGCCAGGATATAACCTGTTTAAATTTGACAGAGTGGGAAGGAGAGGTGGCGGTGTAGCAGTGTATATCAGGGTGTCATTAAAAAGCTGCAATAAATCAAACATTAAAACAAATAGCGACAATGAAAGTATTTGGGTAGAGATTGGTGAGGGCAGTGAATCCGTAGTCATTGGTGTTATATATAGACCACCTAATTTGAGTAGGAACGATGGTAAATTGCTATGGGAGGAAATATAGAAGGCATCTGATAGAAACAATGTATGTATTCTAGGCGATTTCAACTTTTCAGGCATAGATTGGAAAAATCAACTTAGCGATAATGAATCTGAAGATTTTCTAGAAGTAGTACAAGATAGTTTTTTATATCAATTCATAAACTCGCCCACTAGAGGAAATAATATCCTCGATTTAGTTCTCAGTAATAATGAAAATCTAGTAAAAGATATTGGGATTGGAGACGAACTAGGAAACAGTGATCATAAAGCCATATATTTTAACATAATATGGGATGGCAGGAAGAAGGAAAATTCGGCCTTGATCCCGGATTTTAGGAAGGCTAATTACGGTAGCTTAAGGAGAGACCTAAGGGATGACTATGGTCAAAAAGATTAATCACACCTCCGGAAGCACAACTCAACTTAGAATGAGGGCAATTTGTTGCTTTACTTATGAACAAACATTAAAACTAATCAATAATACCCCAAAATAAGCATCCCTAAAAGAGATTCAGATCGTCTGGAGACAACCAAAATGGATGAATAATAGACTCTTAGATCTTCTAAGGAAAAAGAAAAGGAGGTATATAGAAAAAAGTTAAGAAAGAAGCTGAAAAATCACTTGCTTGGATTTGCCTATCGAACCTAACAAGACAGGTAAAAACAGAATTAGGAAAGCAAAGAGAAATTATGAAATCAAAGGTAGCCAAGCGAATCGAAAAAATAACCCCCAAAGCACATCAACTGTATAAATCAAAGGTTAGAGATACAATAGGTCCCCGTAAAACTACGACAGGAGAAATGACTGATCATGAGTTAAAAATGTGTAGTACGTTAAATAGTCATTTTCGCTCCGTATTCACAAATGAAAACCTAGCACAGTTTCCAGAAGTTCATAAGGTATATAACGACAGTATAGAAAATATGTTGATGAATACAGGTATCAATATTACTAGTAACGATGTGCTTAAAGTAATTAACAAACTAAAGCCTCATAAATCGCCTGGTCCAGACGAGGTATATGCTAGAATATTAAAAGAGTGTAGAGATGAGTTGAGTAATCCATTAGCAGTTTTATTTAATAAGTCATTAGAATCGGGCCTAGTGCCAGAAGCTTGGAAACTTGCAAATGTAGTTCCGATTTTCAAAAAGGGTGATAAATCAATAGCATCAAATTACCGTCCCATAAGTCTCACGTCAATCATAGGCAAGTTGCTAGAGTCAATTATTGCTACAAAAATCAGAAGCCACCTTGAAACATTCAACACAATTCATTTTTTTTCTCCTTTGCAGGTTCGCAGGGACGTTCATATCTCACAAATTTGCTTAGCTTTTCTCAAGTATATGAAGCGGTAGATAATGATAGAGTCATATGATATAATTTATTTAGATTTCAGTAAAGCATTCGATAGAGTCCCTCATGAGAGATTGATAAGGAAGGTAGAAGCACTTGGAATAGGTGGATCATTATTAAAATGGATTAGGTCATGGTTAACTGGTAGGAAACAAAGAGTCAGCATAAATGGATTTAAGTCAGACTGGGGTGCGGTCAAAAGCGGAGTTCCCCAGGGATCTGTATTAAGCCCTCTGCTGTTTGTTATATTCATTAATGATCTTGATTTAGGTATAACTAGTAGGATTAGTAAATTTGCAGATGATACCAAAATGGGGAGAGTGATAAATTCAGACAGTGACTTTGAACACCTTCAAAGAGATCTAGACACCTTACATGAGTGGTCAGTAGACTGGCAAATGAATTTTAATACTGATAAATGCAAGGTACTACAGATAGGAAAGACGAATACAAACGTTAAGTATAAACTAGGTAACACGGAAATAGAAAACTCAGATTGTGAAAAAGATCTAGGTGTATTTGTTAGCAACGACTTGAAACCTAGAAAACAATGTATTTGCGTTCGCAACAAGGCAAACAGGATTCTTGGGTTCATATCTAGGAGTGTGAGTAACAGAACTGCTGACGTTATCTTGAAACTTTACCTAGCATTAGTGAGGCCACACATGGATTATGCGGTTCAATTCTGGTGTCCTTATTATAGAATGGACATATATTCTTTGGAGAGAGTACAAAGAAGAATGACAAAAATGATCCATAATATTAGAAACCTTCCATATGAAGAAAGACTGAAAAGCTTAGGCTTGCATTCATTAGAGAGGCGTAGAGTTAGGGGAGATATGATAGAGGTGTTCAAGTGGGTAAGTGGGATTAACAAGGGTAAAATGGAAGATGTTCTGAAGCTCAGTAATAACGAAATAACTAGAACAAATGGCTTTAAATTAGATAAATTCCAATTCAGAAAGGATATAGGCAAGCACTGGTTTGGTAATAGAGTTGTGGATATGTGGAATAGGCTACCGAGTGCTATAGTAGGATCGGGGACGCTAGGGAGCTTCAAGACGAAGTTGGATAGGCACATGGAAGTGCTGGGATGGGTGTGAAAGGGATCTGCCCTGTATGGGCCAGTCGGCCTCCTGCAGTATCCCACTTTCTTATGTTCTTATGTTCTTATGTTCTAAAGTGAATACAAAACACACCAAAAAACATATAAACCTAACCTTTTTGGGGATGACCTAACCTACCCTAATCTATCCTAACCTGACCCATGGGAACACATTTATGAAGGGAAGATTAATGGAATTAAATAGAGAAGATCTGGCATGCATTACCTCCGTGATTATACGTTACCCAAGAAATGTGATAAAATAAAATTACCTTAAAATCAGAAGTCCTTTACGAATATGATAATAGATTTGGGGTAGGAATGTTGTGTGAACTACATACCAATCTTTCAGTGATGCCGAGGTGGAATTCTTCAGATCTAAATACAGTAGAGCCTTTCATAAATTATTTCACCAAAATTCCTAAATGCTGTGTCTACTTACATGGTTGCCTCACTTTTAGAAGAAGCATCGTCGGTCTGTAGCTCATCACTGGACAACAAAGTCTCTTTTTGTATGCATTTCTTCTTCTGATATCTTGTTACACTGGATCTCTCCATGACTTCCTTCATTCTTGCTGTGTGCGGTGTGTACTTCAACCCCAGCTCCTTATGTAGGCCCCCTTCTGTATAGCCCATATTCCACTCAAGACAGGTCAGTGCTGTTGCAAATTGCAACATTTCTAATCTCCTGTATCTTTCTCTTCCACATCTGTGCCAAACCCAACCAAGGAGAGTCTTATTGCTAGTCAGTGTATTTACTAAGCGACAATGGATTAGATAATCATCATCGGCGAGCCTCCCATAGATATGAGTTATTTTGTCCTTAATTTCATCAGTAAGGTCAAAGAAGTTAGTGAACATGTTTGCCTCTCTATGTGGTGGTGGGGTCTGATTCCTTGCACGCGCCTTCTGCCAAAAACACAGTGAGTCTGGGCCTTGCGGGCAAAACTGGTGTCGATCAGGTGTGTCATCTACGGCCGTGCAGTGAAAGTATGAGGAAAAAATGGCTCTCTTCATATCTTTTCGTGATTTTCCTAAGTTTTGTCTCACCGACATTTCACAATGGGACTGAATATTCCCAATAACTTCTTTAGTCAGCTCTGGGCATTTCATTTTAATCATTTCATCCCTTACCTTATACAGAGCTGCACCCAGTTCCTTCCTCAAATGACTTACACTCTCCTCTTTGACAACAGCATGTTTAGCACCATACGGGCCCTGTCCATTGTTCATTTGCATTATTTTGTCACAAGCGTTAGAGTCTCTTTCTGTGATAAACACAACATACCTAACTTGGTATCTCTCTACAGATCTTGAACACATCCTCTGGACAACTGCTTCTTCCCTACCGTCACTATCACCCTTGTAATTCATATTGCAGTTACGTTCATGACTCCTCTTCCATTCATCATAGCTTCCCTGCACCTCGTCTTCTTTCTTCTCTTTACACTCGTGGCAGTAACTTGACACAAATTCCCAGTCCAACACAATACCAGTGTAAAGTTCAATAACAACGCCCACGCCATAGTATCTCTCAGGTCCCTGATCAAGCCAAGCACTTTCATAACTCACATCAATGTTTAAAATACCATCAGTATCTGGATGTCGACCTATCTCTCCATATATCATCTGAACAGCACTTCTAGCTTTAAGGAACATAACATCACACTTCTTGAGTAAGGCATTATGAATATACCTTAAATGTTTGAGCCATGACTTGTATGACAGACCTCTTATTTTCATACTCTCAGCTGCATCAAAGAATTCTCTATAACTAACGTCACGACTTGCCAATGTTAATACTAAACTTAGATTATTTTCATATATGTCTTTTTCCTTTTCAGTTTTGTTCACATTCATTAATTTGGGTTTTATTTCAAGCACAATCTTGTTACAATCCACACATGTCACTGACACCACCGTATCAACACACACGGGTTTCACTAAAACCTTCACACTACCGTTACAATCATCACATTTGAGCATACCTAATGTACTCTCAAGGACTTCAGCATCCAACAACACGTTTGCTTTACGTGTAATCATTTCTGTACCAGCCTCCTGTACTTCCAGTACAGTTTTCCTCCGGGCAACACCATGTAACTGGTACGCCTCTCTCTCACCAGTTACGTCAGCCTGTTTCTTAATGGCTTCATGTGCAGCTACTTTAGCCTTCCTACGAGCGGTAATACCATCCATGTTGACACGTTCCCAAAGACTGTTCTCTACTGTGAACTTCAGGTGAGGGTGATAGAGGTGGCGGGAGACTGGACACTACCGTACGCCTCATAATAACATGTAGTCATCGTACCGGAACTTCAAAATTATTACTTTTTCTGAAACTGTCATACGTTATAGTACAAATATTATATAAATGTCTTCGCACTAAAATTTTACATATTTTATAGTAGATTTGCTGTTCAGATTTTACAAGGTAAATTTGAACTAATGGACAAGGTTGTAAATAACTTAAAGTGAATACAAATTGGTAAGCAAGATGGTAAGGCACCACTGTGCAACAGAGACTTTAAATTTTATTTTGTTTGTGTGCTTTCTCATGGACTGAAACTGTGCCTACAATACACCATTCACAGGGAGATACAGTGTACACAGTGATAGTGTAGTGGATTCCTCCCCTACAAACGCTGTTTGTCGCTGAGTAGCTGACCCCGCGAATTCCCCAGTGTATGCCTCGTGGTCTGGGTCAACCAGCGCCGCCATACTTGACGGAGGTCAACTATTAAGCCACGCCTACCACCGCTATATAAGACCTGACCTCGTGGTGACCTGCCTCGGGACTGCTGGACCCGGAGCTGTGAAGACTTGCCTCTTCTGCTGCATGTTTGAGCAGTCTGCAACTTCGTTGTGATAGGACACTCAATCCTAGTGATTGTACTTAATCAACATAGCGACGGTGCAATTACCATCACAGATTGTACAAAACATAACATATATTTGGGCTCCCACCCGTGGGTCTCCGTCCTGGATTGGCCAATCAGCGGTGCCCCACGGTGACGTGATCAGGGTTGCCAACTCGGGTCTTCACATGTCGCTAGGCTGGTACCTAAAAGTAGCTAAATGGCGCTAAATCTTCCATGGAAAGTCGCTAGCTATTATTCCCCCCCTTCAGTATAAATAAAATGCATTATGTAAAAATAAAAATATTATTTTTTTTAAAGTTTAATGTGCACACTTACCTATTATTCAATAGTAATTGCATCCCAGACCTCTTGGTAGTGTGAACAACTGTAGAGCTGGAAGCATGTGAAGTGCTTGGTTCAGGTTCTCTTGTAACTGTATGCCTCCACAGTCCCTATCTTTCTTAAAATATCACTAGGAAGTTCACAACAGGTGTTCTGTCTTTTTAACCCATACTTTATTGTAAGAATTGCCTTTAATGTCGATAGTTTCATTTTGTTGCGCAATTTTGATTTCACAAAGTTCATATTACTAAATGTGCGCTCTACATCTGCGTTTGAATGCGGAAGAGATAAGGCAGCGAGTGCTTCAGCCAGATCATGGTAAGGGTTTTCACCTGTCGCATCTCTGTAATTTGCCACTTCTGACCACAATTTTAGGGTGTTAGATGTTTCTGTCCAGATTGTGTGATGCAGTTTTTTCCACTGGAAATCAATCTTGGTAAGGGTGCTGGAATCTTCTGTAAATAAGTGTGCCAAACCAAGTATATCTGATTTAATAGGCTTCAAGCATTCATCGGCACTCAGAAAAGATATAGACTGCAGCACACGAATGTTGTCAGGTAAGCGTTGACCAAGTTGTTTTATGAGTTCAACCCGTTCAAATGTATTGTCCCTGTAACCCCGTTGCTATATATTATGGCTCGAAATTAGGAAAACTGAGTTTTCATGGACAGTCCAAAAGTATCCAGAAAGTCGTTAGATTTCTGTGGGTATCTCTAGAGTCGCGACAAGTCGCAAATCGCTCTAAAATGTCGCTAGAAAAAAACAAAAAGCTCTATCTAGCTACAAAGTCGCTAAGTTGGCAACTCTGGCTCGTTTACTGCGGTGCTCTGATTGGCTAACCGAACGTGGCGTGGTAGGGAGACTGTCTCTAGTCTCTAAGTCCTCTTCTTTCCTTTTTTCATCCCCCTCATGCACTCCGTTCCTTGAACGGGAGGCGGGACTCAGCGATACGGTCGATCCGGCAAGGGAACCTGTGATAGTGCAGGGCACCCCTTGTCCGGGGGTCACCGGTAGGTGGCAACTTTTTTAGACATAACTATAGCCACAGGTAACCTGGGTGCAGAACCCTACGAGCCCGACGCCCGTCCAAGAGGGGGGGGCGGGGTCACTGCTCCCAGGCAGGAGCCCTGTGTTATAGGTAGGATTAGAATGTAAACAAGGAAGATGACTACAAGCATTAGGATAAAACATAGAGATAAGGGACACTCTATTGGAAGAGGAAAAGGCAGAAATCACTTACAACAAATTGCAAGTCCCACTAACAAGAATATTCAGCACCAACGAAGGTTTCAAAGTAATCTGTAAAGATGACTTTGACTCAGACAAAATCCTCTCAAAAGAAGCCAGAGATGTATTTTACAATGAAGGCCTTGTTGTTGTCATGCCACCAGAGCAAAAAGCAAAAAGATCAGTTTTCGTTCGTCAAGTCGACCAAGAGATCGGGAGGAAGACATCTGAAGACCTGAAAGATGAACTGGAACGCCAAAACAGGTGGATGAAGATCGAAGAAGTCATCAAGATAAAAGACTACACTCATGTATTCAAGATTACCTTTGAAGAAGTTTCAATGGCAGAAAAAGTTTTACAACAGGGCTTTCTAATATTTAACATGTCAGTAACACCTCATCAAATAAAGAAGGAAACATTCATCAGTCTGCAAACTTGCTTTTCCTGTTACAAATCTGAAGAACACACTGTAAGAGAAACGGGAATGCATATATAGGACACAGGACGTTAGCAATGGCATGCCCAATAAAAAAACACATGATAAAGTACAAGGAACAAGAAACAAGGAAAAAGGAACAAGATAAGAAGGATACGACATACGTCGAAATAGCAAAGAGAGCGGTCCAAGAGGCTCATAGACCAGAATCCACCATATTAAACCTAAGTGAACCAATACATGATAAGGTAATGATTAGTATGATCCATGCACATCTGCACAATATCATTGCACCCGGATCATACAATGAGGAGTTAAGGAAAATGTTTAAATTGAATAACCTACCAGAGATGATATTCCCAGAGAATCCAGAATCCGAAAAACTATTTCAGGCAACATACTCAAGCGAACTGAGAGAAAGACCACAGCTAGACAAACAAAGGTTTGAGCAAGGAGCAACAGCTGATACACAAGGAACACAAGCGACTGATAGAGATCCCAGACAAATGACTAGAAGTGACAAAGAGAAGATAGAAGTAACAAAAGAACATACATAAGAACATAAGAAAATAAGGAGTCTGCAATAGGCCGGTTGGCCTGTGCATGGCAGCTCCTGTCGAGAGTTACTACCACTCTCTATCATCCATGAATCTATCTAGCCTCCCTTTGAAACTTTCCAGAGTTCCCGCACTTACTACAAAGTTGCTAAGCTTGTTCCACTCGTCCACCACCCTATTTGTGAACTAGTTCCTTCCTATCTCCCTCCTAAACCTAAACTTATCCAACTTGAATCCGTTGATCCGAGTCCTATCCTGCTCGGATATTATAAGAACTTTATCTATATCCCCTTTATTGATTCCTTTCACCCAGTTAAATACCTCTATCATATCTTCCCGCACTCTTCGTCTCTCCAGGGAATGCAAATTAAGTTTCTTTAACCTATCCTGATATCAAGAAAAACCCCTAAGTGAAGATTACGTCTGGACACTAATCACTACGGACAAACTAAAGATTACGACCAATGACTTTAAAATAGTAGACCCGTCAGAGTTTAGAAGAGTCAGAAGCGGGAAACAGGATGATAGGTCTCCACTCCAACTGCCACAATCCAAGTATAAGAAATAATGGACAATAGACAAACAGTAAGAACTTTAAGAATAATACAACACAACGTAAGAAACTGGAAGACCGAGAGAATTAACCTAAGTAATATATATCAAGAAATTGACCCTGACATTATACTAATAAACAGTCACGGTGAGACAGACAACAACAACATAAAACTCTTTAACTATTATGTAAACCAAAGAAATAAATCGGGCGAGAAAAATGACGGAGAAGCGATAGCGGTTAAAAGAAACTTAAAATTTAAACTAATTGATGACTTCCAGGATGAATTTCTAGCAATAAAAATAAATACAACTCAAGGAGACGTAATTATTGCTACTACTTATCTCCCACCGAGACGACCCTACTTACCTATAGAAGACCTATTAAAATTGGCTAACAATAGTCATCCGATGTACATCTTAGGAGACTTTAACGCCAGACACAGGATTTTCGACAATACAAATAATAACGCCGTGGGAAACGCCCTTAATCAATTAATAAACCTAGGGAAAATCAATCATCTAGGTCCTAACTTTCCAACCTGGAGAAATCACAATACACAATCGACACCAGACAAAATTTTTACCAACAACAAAGCCTTTTTCAATTACCATATAAAACAAGGACTTCTCACAGGCAGTGACCATCTGCCAATTATACTAACACTGTCAACAAGCCCCATACAGATACCAATAAAAAAAGAGACTGAAAATGAGTAAAACAGACTGGGACAGCTTCAAAGACGACTTAGGTAATCACCACTCGATTAACCTACAAGGGAAAACAACAGAGGACATAGACTCAGAAATGGACAGACTGCACTCAGCAATAAAAACATCTATAACCAAACACACTCCTACTTCACACTTTAGAACATTACCCAACAACAGACTACCAGAAGAAGTTAAATTAATCCAGACCCATTACAATGAAATAAACAGGTATATGGAAAGACACGGCAGTAACAGATGGCTATATACGACACAGACAGCACTACAGATAAAATTAAGAGACGCATGTAAGGAAGCAAACAATGAAAAATGGAATGATATTATAATGGCGGCTGACATGACTAAAGACACAAAAACATTTTGGACTTCCATAAACAAGATGATGGGGCACAACAAGCAAAAAACACCATACATTAAAGACCAAAATGGAACAAAACTGTACGAGGAAAATGAACAAGAGTCAGCATTCAAAAGGGAATGGGTGAAAGTTTTTAAAATATGAGATGAGGAAAATGAAGATTTTGATAGTGAACACGAAGAAAGGATAGAAGAAGAAATGGGAAGACAAATACATAGAATCACCCCAAGGCAATATATAGACTATA